TTGTTGGATTTTGTGAGGTTCAGTATGCTTTCTAGTGCAAGAGCCTAGGGGGTCAGGGTTAATGAAGAGCAGTATGGCACCATATACACTGTAATGCTAATTACATGGCAATGAGATGTTCAATTTACGAGGCACCAAGCATCCAAACTTCTGTTTTTGCAGTGCAGCTGTGCCTTTGGAATGAATAACTCACGACACATGATCAACCAAGCAACAGCCACGTTTTCAGGAGTTATATACATGAGGGTTTGACTTCATATGCCTTTTGCCAATATAACTGAACACGCCTACTTATACTGAGACTTAATATGTGAATGAAGAACATCTGATATCCAACCGCATGGACTTTCAGACAACACCAATTTCTGTTGTCCTTGATCAGTTGCTTTATCTCCAGGTATGAGACCAGAAGGATAGGGGCTGCTTGTATAATACATAGGCAGCATAGCAGGCTGTGTGCCATGCCCGCGTCTTGCATACAAGAAACCAGGCACCAGTATACTGACATCCACTCACCTATATGGTGTTTGTATGTGCAACCACAATAAATACGACTGCAAAAAGAAAATGTGCAAGTTTTCTGTTTATTCTCTGTCAAACCTTAACCAGCATTTTCTCATCAAGGCTTCCTCCAAACCCTATCGAAGACTTAACCAATGGTTCCTATATCATCAACGTATGCGTAGTGTGTGAGGAGGGGGATCTAGGGGGCAACGTCATATATGCACAGGGAGAAAGGGCTAAAATATGTGAAGGGCCCAATACCAGTAATGGCTTACCTGCAGCCAATCAGCTTAGGTCGTTCCCCCGGAGCCTTGCACTCAGACTCCACTTTGAGACTGCTGACATGATTGATAGATAAGACGGTCGCTGCTACAAACCATGGCAAGCCCAGAATAGAGCACAGACCCAGTAACAATCCAACCACCAAAAGGTCTAAATGGTAGCCAACTCCTTTCTATTCAAACACAAAGCCAGATAGAACATTAAGCTGAAAATGAGCTCACATATCTCCAGTTTTTTATATATACCTACTGCATGAACTGACAAGAATAACCTGTTCTGACAAGGACACATACATGTACACATACACACTATTTTGGATGGGTTTGAGCTTAAAAGTCAGTTCGCATTTCTAGGACAAATGTGAATTTTCCATTTCACCTTCATGCCCCTCAGCATGTAATGCATTCTTATTTACAAATTTACTAAAGTAAAAAAATCAGAATTTATTTAAGGATAACATGTAATGGGAACATTTGTTTCAAAGAAATGCTTACAATAGGAACTCTAAAATAGCTAGATGCTAACCCCCCCGACCTATTCTCCAAAATTGCCACAATACATTTTTTTCTGGGCCAGTATAAATAGCCATTATAAACCTGTGCTGGATTAAATTGAAACTTCATGGAATTACTCCCGAAGCTTTTCACATGCAAGTCAAGTTGTAAAAAGATCAGGCGTGGGATACCTGAGATGGGGTGAGGAAGGTGGGGTGGAGAAAGGGCAGAATTTAGCCCGCGCCTGGGCAGCTCTTTTTACAGTTAAAATGCCTTCCAACTAGTCAACTAAAACTACACGGTAGTTTTTCATGAAAGTAATTTCTCTGCAAAGTTGAATATTCTGAATTCTGATTGGTCAATCCCTTCAACAGCAGTGTAATTGACGATCACCCTGTAGTGTCAACTAAGGTGCGTGCAAAACCATATTAAAATTGGAGGATCAGGACTTTTAGGGTTACTCCGCAAGGACAATCAGTTCAAGTGGTATGTCTCTGAAAGTCTTTCCAAGGTTAATGCTGAGATTTAAGCCAGTTGTCTTTACCTTGAGTTTGTTTTCTTTTCTGTTGACAATGACTGCAGTTATCTGCTGATCCATGAAGATTAGTATGAGAGCCAGGAGGGCTGGTAGAAACGCAGCTAGTGCTGTCCACCATGGGTTCTTTCCAAATGGAGGGACAAGCCAGCCTTCCCGCTCCGAGGATGTGGGCTGTTGAAATCAATAAGTCATCTTTAATAAAGGTGTCAAAGTATAATGAAACAATTCTAAACTAGCATAGGGGCCTGGGGAGGATAATGGACTCCGCCAAAAATAACTTTAGTGACGATGTCATGTATGTGAGTAAGAGCCCACAACATAGGAGTCAACATTTTATACAAAACCAAGAAATGATTTCAACCGGTTGGTACTTTTATCATATATTTTACACCATCTGCATGGTGGGCTCTCAACCCACAAGAATAGGTAAACTGTCTGAGGTATTTTTTAATGTGCTTACAGAAGCGAATGAACGTAGGTGAGAGCCCAACATGTAAAGCTAAAAGCCCACATGCAATATTGACTTTCAAATGAACTAAACTGACTCGACAATGAACTTACCTGGAAGGTGCTTGGGACGTGAAGTTTAGGTGTGTTTACTCCAAACAGGATATCAACTCCAATCATTATTAGAACAGCCAAAAATACTGAGAAATCACTTACTGTTGTGCGAACCTGTGTAAGAAAATAAGATGTTAAATATTATTAAAAATCTAACTTTGAATATTTCACAACAAACGGGTGGCCAATTATTCCAAGAAAGTGCCTATGTTGTTTTGTGCCATTAGAGTCTAATCATTCAGAAAGATCTGACAATTTATAACATTTCCTAAAATTCACTGACGGGTAAACATATTTCAGAACTAATATAATGAACCCTTTTGTTACTGGGCATTATGCTACTTTTTGTTTGAGCAAATATCATTTGATGCCTGTAGGTCCGGAAATAAAAATATATCTAATACCCCTCATGCAGCATTTACACAGCCAGTAGTAAATGATATTCCACACGGCAAACAATTTCAAACACAGTGGTCTATAGACAAATCTGAAGAGATGCCATTCTTGTGTGGCCACTGCACTCACACTGATGTCTTGACTTGAATGCATAAGCATACTTTGGCAAGTCAAGACACCCTACTGGTCAGAGGGGAATGACATATGCACATACCACCTGCGTGCCAACAGAATGACCCCACATTAATGGCTTCTACTTCTTTTGGCCAGATTTGTCAATAGGACTGTTTACACCATGAGCAGACAAACCACATGATGGGGAGATGTGTTTAAGACACCTGAGTGCTTTTTCAAAGATAATGCGGTGAAATAGTGCCTTCCGACCAATCCTTAGTTTTGTTTAGGCATGGCATCACAGACTGCCTGGCATGGTTGAGTGCTTCACTGTACCTTTGATTCGTCCTGTGGGGCCCTTGTGTCCATGTGGACAGTCTGTGACATAATGATTTGCACACTGCCTTGGGCAGAAATGCAACATGTCATGTGGCACATCACTGTCCGTCAATAATGTCCATTATTGATTTGTAAATGGGCCTCTATGGGGTCTTTTTGTGTTTTCTTTTCCAAAGTCTGCCCTCTATGCAAGATGGCAAAAAACAAACACCTCAATAAAAAAATTTTAGCCCTCCTTTCATCCCAACAGGGAGCAAAGCAAGCAACAACTCACTATTGTTGGAAAATACGGTGTATTGCGTGACTTTTTTAAGCTGAAAGCTATGGCGAATGTGCCCAGCATCAGGATGACAGACATCAGAAACACATCATTTTTTGGTACATGGAGATCGCAGTAATTGCCCATAGCTGTGCCATTGATCTTATCACAATCATCTGTCTTTTTGTCCAACCAATCTAGAGTTGAATTCTCCACCACACAGTCACACTCATATACAGCAGTCTCATTGGACCATCTGAAAGCAACCACAGAACGTAAAAGGAAGTTAGAAATCAGCTACATACATGTACAGCTAATGGCAAATGTTCAGTACTGTGGCCATTTGGTCTGAACTCCATGTTGGTCAGCACAGTCTGGTCTACTTTTGACAGCCTTCAAGGACACCATATAATAATCAAGTGAAAACCACACCTGTTAATAGGCTGATGGACTTTACCACAACTATGCAGAAAAGCAGTAAGGGAAGAAAAAAACTAAACAGAAAAAAAAAGCCTTCCCGCAATGATACAGGGGGAACCAAAACAAATGGCATGAAAACAAAAGAATACCACAAATCCCCAAAAGATATGACCACAGAAGACTAACTGATCGACCTAAAGAGACTAACCGTATCCCTGAACTAACATTATGACCCAAAGAACAAACCAATGATGAACCCACAAACATAAAACCGACTAAACATTCTCAGTTGTATCACAGAGGAAGGAATCTCCTCCCTGGTTCTTTTCAACAACCTTTAAACACAATCCCGTTATTATACTAGACAAAAGTAGTACTTTGAAATATCTCAGAATGTCAAATTCTTACTTTTCCACTGGGTTAGTTTCATAAATTTTGACGAGTTTGTGGATGGCTTCATAGATGAAGATGAAAGAGATCAGACTAGAGAAACTCTCCTCAGTGAAGCGTGTGAAGTATTTGACCATAGCACTGGCATCACAGGCCACCAGGATGACAACCATCAGGCAAGTCCACAAGCCGATCCAAAAGCGAAATGACAGGTAATCCAGCTCATTTGACCTAACCGGTAAAGTTGGCAAATTCAATGTTTATTAAATTAAGAGTCATGAGAGTAAAGCTTCATAAAAATACCAAAGGTTTTTAAATGTTTGTACAAATGTAGTTATATTTCATATTAATTCAAATCGATTTGCCTGTATGTCAATCTGTACATGAACATAAGGATTCCAGGCTTCCCATGAGAGCATATGCACTGCTGTATGGAATTGGAGAGGAAAAAATATAGCATGCACGTTATACACATGGTTGAACATGCATAAGTACCTTTGTGTAAAAAAAATTACACTTGCATTATGTTTTAGTTTGTAGGACCAGTACTTTGTCTTTATGTCTGCTTTGCAGAGTTGCTGACTCGAGTCATGTGACTTGGACTCAAGTCGGACTCGAGTCGCCATTTTTGTGACTTGTGGCTTGACTTGTAAATACCAGCTTTGACCTGTGACTTTGTTTATGAATATGTCAGGGAAAAAAAAAACACACAACACTTGACAACTGTTCTTGCACCAGTATCTTGCACAAGCATCAATGGTGCACGACCAATGTTAGAAATCATTGGCCTTATTCTACTGGGGCAGTGGGTATTTTGAAGCCTGTTCTGGGCTATGTAAAGGTCTCATCACAAACTGCAATACCTATACTACATGCATTGACAGTGTGTAAACCCATCTTGGCCAACTTGGCATACCCAAACCATTGTTCCAGTCGTATCACAGGAATATGCAAAGCTTTGCCACAGATCAATTCAATTCCAGAGAGAATTTGTCCATTCAGCCATTTGCTTTCATGAGGGCTGCCATCATGTAACCTAATATTGCATCTTGTGAAATCAAGAGAGCTGCCTGCATATCTATCCACTATTTTCAGATACAGTGACATCGGATGTACAAAAAAAATTGCTGATTTCATCAAGTTGTTGGGGCTTAGATTGGTCTGATTCTCAGTGTAAACCTTTATGATCTATACATCTGATCACCTGGATAATCTGAAGACCATTTGAAAGATAAAATCAGAGGATGTCAGGCAGGCTTTAAGACATGCCATGAATGTATATCTGCATAATTTCTGACCCATAATGAAAATGCAGTCCCCTCTTCTGCCTGTTTTTTCTTCAAATTTCCCCTCTGACTAATTCAAGTAGCCTTGGACATCTCTCCAGAGTTAATTTCATATTTTTTTCAGACTCAATGGAGCATACTACTCCACTGAGATTGTACAAAGGTAGCATGGCCTGAAAAAGCTGACAGTAGTGAACTTCACACAGCAAAGGCACTTTATCAATAGGCAAATTATTCCAACTGGCTTATGGGTCAAGTGATACAGAGAATAATTTGTTTGCAGTCTCTGTAGATAGCCAGTGATAAAGTCTGTCCACAATTATTGAGAATGAATCAAATAAATGACCAAATAAAAAATACAGAAATGACAGCTGTCTTAAAAATCCAACGCTTCAACTACATCAATGAATGTGTTCAGCAATACCGTGCAAACACTTACTGGCAGAAGGCAACCAGGATTTTTTCATAAATGAGAATAGGGCCTGTGCTCCCAAGAATAGTCAGTGGCTGGCCTGAGAACAATGCAAATCCAACTCCACAAATGGCTGACCCGAGTAGACCTTCTAATGTGGCCTGTCACGAAAGGAAAACAAGTTTTTAACTTTTACCAAGTACATGTGCTGTCCTCTTCAGATTGGTATGTTACCAGTGTTCTAGTCTTTGAGTCTTAACTCAGACTCAAGTCTGCTTTTTGTTGGACTGTTTTGTGGACTTGGACTACGGCCAAAATCCTCAAGGACTCGGCCCAAGTCAAGCAAAAGTCCACAAAACAGGTCTGTTTTGTTATCCGAAGCACTCTTTGAATGTAAAGTAACCATATAAATGGAAAACTTAGACAATAACTTTGTATCTTTTCTATCCTTAAGAATGCTTACCTAAAAACATTCTCATGGCTAGAAATGTGACTTATGCTCTAAGATGCTTATTTTTTTAGTTCAAGAAAAGAGTTTTGGTAAACTGTATACTGTACAATTTTTTGAGATTTTAAATTGTTTCCTTGACAACGGCTCCAGACACATAATATTACAGAGGTTGAGGAAAAAGAGGTGGAATGTTTCTGCACTTGGGGCAAGAAGTACACAGTACATTCCTCTGTCAGTTTCTACAATTGAATATCACAGTGGATCCGTGTCACAAATCTCCTGACTTGTCCAACTGCCTGACCCAATGGTCCTGTCTATAACTCCAAGTTTTGCATCTCTTACATACCATGAGATTGTTAGTTGCTTCGCCAAGCAGCCCACCAAATGTAATGACAGGAGTGATGCAAGCAAAGTACATGAAGAAGATGGAGGCAAGACACTGTAAGTGAAGAGAATCCTTGTAGTCACTCAGATAGTGTGGAAGTCGACGTCTAACATCTGCAACAAGCCCACCAAATGGTCTAATGGAAAAGAAAGAAAAGAATCCAGTTATGTGTATACTTGAACTGTGACACAGCCAATGACAAGTTGTGACTATGATGGTGTCACACTGGAGATAATTACAAATTCACTACACATGTATTTGTTTCATGGCTGCAAAGCTTCATTTACTCAGTACAGATCATTCATTTTCTTTATGCAAACTTACAATGCAGATGCCCTTTCAGTGTTGGCTTAGGATTAAGATCTGAATGGTCTCTGACCACTTGACATTCCACACATAACTGCATTCTCTGAAAGGCTGGTTCCAAATCTTGTTATAAGTTGAACCTGTTTCTTCTTTGTTATTTTTCTGCTGATTGCTGTCCTGGGGTTCACTCTTAACACATGAAAGAATTTGGCACTCCCATGGTATTCTAAAATTTGTTGACATCTCTACCCTGAATTAATGAACGAGTCCAAATTCCCAACTTGAAATGTGAAGGGCCAACTTTATTTTTTCCTAACACAAAAAAGCCAGTTTCCTTCAACAGTACACTGAATTAAGAGAGAAATATGGTTTCTGTTAAGCATGATTGAGACTTTGAAAGTTCACTTACAGGCTGTTGCTATAAACACACTTAAGTATGAGTTCGATGGAATTAAAAGAAAACCCTACTTGGGTAAGACGACAAAAGATCTTGAGTAAAAATTGAGAACAAATAGTGCGACAGTGCCTGGTGGAGCTACAGTGATGAGCTAGTCATGCTGCACCAATGTGTAACTTTTTACCTTCCAGTGAAATCCAATCCTTCATGTTTCTTCTCTTCCTCGCATCCTTCAATGTGGCCATTAGCTGGTTGGATACTGCTTAGCCGATGGGATGTAGATGGCGCTGTTTTAGGTGGCTCAATGCGAATGTCTGGATCCCAAACACCTGTAATAGTTTAGAACAACAGAGTTGTTTAATGGTTAATGGAAAGTGCTTTTAAGCCTCCTTTTTCACATTCCAAATTTGAAAATTTGAAATGGTAATGTTATGCTGAACAAGTGAAGCTAACTGCCCAAATGAGTTGGGAAAAAAGCATTCCCTCATTATATGTTGTCAACTTGCAGAAAAGAAAAATTTGGTGTACAAAATTCAAACAGTGGTTGTCTCTGGCCTGCTTCACGGCTCACGTTGGGAGGCCAGTTTTTACTGCACCACTCTAAGCAGTCAATATTTTTATAACAGCAGGCCATAAAATGGCCTCAACAGGTCCAGCAGAGCTTGTTGCCGGGCCTCAGGAAGACTAGAGATCTGGCATCTTATCATTTCTTTATTTGTTAACAAGGTCTGTGGAATTAGACTAGACCTGTGCAATCTTGTTGTGGTTCATCTGGCAAACCCCTGGAAGAGCCAGGACTCACCAGGAGGTAAGACTGTGACCTGATCCATGAACTCATCAATACCGGCCAGCAGGTCCTCTACTGTCTTGGCTTTGTAGGCGACACCATGGAAGACCGGATCTGACATGAGTGTGGCAATGCAGCGACCGATCTCATGGTACTTGGTCTCTTCTTCACAGTGGGGACCCAGCATGATGAAGAGGAACCTGGTTGGGATAGGTACCTCTGTCAGGTCCTCTAGGAGGACAGACTGTGCCAGCCGGACAAACGCTATGATAGGACGAGACAGGAAGTCCACCTCACCAACCAGGACATTAGAGGCCTCAGCCCCAGGGGGAATCTTGCGCATGAAGTTGCTCCTCGCCTGGAAGAAAACATTGATATGGCCCAGTGAACGTTTTTGTTCCTTGGCATGTACGATATAACCCTCTTTGCCTTTAATAAATCTTCCAAATATTTTGTTACATAATACTTTTACTAAGATTGTTATAACTGGGCTGGAGTTAAGACTCTCTATGTCCATGTCCCTCAACGTAATGCTGGGTCGCTCAGGCCCAACTTCTGTAAAAGTTCGTAGACAGTGTTCGATTAAATTCGTGTTGAATTTGATTCTAGAACTCTGCCTCAACTGTTTTGATTTCATTGTCAGTCCTGTCTTGTTTGGTGGCTGGTGCTGCTTATGTCATGTAGTCATAACATCAAATAAGAAAGCATATTGCCCAGTTTTACTGATTTGAATACATTGTAACCACTGAATTCATGACCTTAGCCTTATATCAATTTCCCACCTCCTCTTCATGTTCAAAGAAAACAATGGTACAACAGAACACAAGATGGTTCATCAGATGGCAGATAGGAGCTGCTTAACTGCATGCTCAAGGTTGAGCTTCTGTCATGGGGTGACCATGGTTTAGGGTTAGTGCAAATTTTGATACTGTCATGGCTTGATAACAATGGCAGGAAATATGCCAAGCACTATCCCTAGAAAAAAATTGACAAAATCAAAAGCAATGTATTTGGACTGTACACAAAGATACATGCACTTGTACAGCATTTTTTGTTATCTGCTCTATAAAGGAACAAGAGATGTTGAGCTTTGGATAGCAATGATACATGTCCGTCTTTGGTATAAACTCACTTTAACCCTAACAGTCCAGCGTATCATTTGGCTTACAGAACTCAGTACTATAAAATACTACATAGTAGTCTGAGGCTGCATCTGAATCTGTTGCCTTAGAGCTAGGTCTAGGTCTTCGCTCCTGAAGGACCTAGCGCTACAAATTACTTCTTCTGGCTAGGGCACCCCTCATTGTTACTCAAACAAAGAACAATAAAGCCATGCATTCATCATGCCACAGCACTGTATGGTACATTGTCTTATCTATTGTATCTTATGGCTTCAGATAACAATATGGTCATGTCCTCTTACAAGTGACAGCAATGTATACTACATTTTACTATTAAGTAGTAATTTTTAGTATTTTGTACTGTTAGGGTTATACCAGTAAATGTCTGCACATTTGGCAACATGTGAGCATGTTATGTTAGAATGTATAGTCTTTATGTGTGCCTGGTACCCTGTTAAAACAATCTCCACTAAACTGCCTCTTTGTCAGTGAGAGAATACTACCCACAGCTGATATGCAACTTGGGGTGCAGGTTGATTTAGCACATAGAGAGTTTGTACCTTCATACTTGTAGCACTAGCCACTTTAGGGAGATTACTTGCTGATGCACTGCTGTCTTTCCTCGAAGCCTCTTCGCTGCCTTCTACAGACAGGTGGGTGCCTGAGTTGTGATGGTGATGCATGAAGTTAGGTGTGGATGCTCCTGATGCCTGCATATTGGCAGCTACACGAAATGTCACAATAATGAAGTATACATGTAAGTAACACTTTACATGAAAGGTGGTACTCTCTTCCCTTCAGTCTGTTGCACGATAAGGAAGAGAAACAGTGAGATAAAATAATGCACTCACAAACTATGGATACATGTACATGTAACTCACAGGAGTATGGTAATGAATGTACTTCTCCGATTGAAGCAATAGTGTAAAATATCCTGTACAATGTTCTATATACATCAAAGGCTGTATGCTACATGGAACCACTTTTCTACATGTATGAGAGTTCACCTCAGTTCATGATGGCAAATGAATTGTCCAAGTAAAAAAACATGTAAATCAAAGACTAAGGAAATGAGCAAATGAACCCTTCATGTTCAAAACTGAGAGTTTCTACCATTGCAGTGATAACTTTTTCAGCATTGAATGGGACCAACAACTCTTCACAACTACATGCATGATAGAGATAAAGAAATACATTACACTGTATACATTCAGAACAGACATGATGTACAGCGACATGTACAT